AGATGCTACCGAAAAATGTTAAGGGGTCATGCCATCTATAAAAAAAAAATTCAAGGAAGGACAATGCATAACTAAGATTTAATTAACATACTGGCAGCAAGAGCAGTTTATCAGCAGAAAACAAGATGTAAGTATATGTTTGAGCTGCTCAGGAAGAAATCAGCAGCCAGCCCCCATGAACATCAATATGGTTTTAGTGATAAGCTACAAATTTTCCATTTATATATCATAAAATAGGCTCCTGTGTACATGCTGAGCAGAATACATTTTTTTTTAGCATAGCAGAGGCAAGAATGTAAATGTGAAGGCATGATGGACATGAGATATGGTAGTCAAAATAAGAGCTAATGGCATTAAAGCTAAGAAAATTGGATCAGCTTATATTGCTTTATGAGCCAAGAGATTGTTCTTAAAGACAAAACTCGTTCGTGGACAGCAAAATCAATATATGATGATATACTTTTAAAGGTCGAAAACATTCTCAGTGCAAAACACTTTTTAGACCCACAACTCTTAAAGTAACACTATAGTATTAGGAATACAAAATGGTATTTCTAATGCTACAGTGTCCCTCTGTCTCTACCCCCCCCCCCCAACAGCAATGAGCAGTGAGCTTGTCTGTGTGTGTGTTTCTGCTAGCGAGTGAGCTTGTCTGTGTGTGTCTGCTAGCGAGTGAGCTTGTCTGTGTGTGTGTGTCTGCTAGTGAGTGAGCTTGTCTGTGTGTGTGTGTGCCTGCTAGTGAGTGAGCTTGTCTGTGTGTGTGTGTGCCTGCTAGCGAGTGAGCTTGTCTGTGTGTGTGTGCCTGCTAGTGAGTGAGCTTGTCTGTGTGTGTGCCTGCTAGTGAGTGAGCTTGTCTGTGTGTGTGTGTGCCTGCTAGCGAGTGAGCTTGTCTGTGTGTGTGTTTGTCTGCTAGTGAGTGAGCTTGTCTGTGTGTGTGTGTGTTTGCCTGCTAGTGAGTGAGCTTGTCTGTTTGTGTGCCTGCTAGCGAGTGAGCTTGTCTGTGTGTGTGTGTGTGTGTTTGCCTGCTAGTGAGTGAGCTTGTCTGTTTGTGTGCCTGCTAGCTGCAGTGAGCTTGTCTGTGTGTGTGTGTGTGCCCTGGCTAGTGAGTGAGCCGTGTGTGCGTGCCTGCTAGCGAAAGTGAGCTTGTCTGTGTGTGTGTGTCTGCCTCGGGGTGAGTGAGCTTGTCTTTGTGTGTGTGTGTGTGTCTGCTGCGAGTGAGCTTGTCTATGTGTGTGTGTGCCCAGTGGAGTGAGCTTGTCTGTGTGTGTGCCTGCTAGTGAGTGAGCTTGTCTGTGTGTGTGTGTGCCTGCTAGCGAGTGAGCTTGTCTGTGTGTGTGTTTGTCTGCTAGTGAGTGAGCTTGTCTGTGTGTGTGTGTGTTTGCCTGCTAGTGAGTGAGCTTGTCTGTTTGTGTGCCTGCTAGCGAGTGAGCTTGTCTGTGTGTGTGTGTGTGTGCGCGCCTGCTAGTGAGTAAGCTTGTCTCTGTGTGTGTGTCTGCTTGTGTGTGTGTAAATGAGCTTGTGTGTGTGTGTATGCCTGCTAGTGAGTGAGCTTGTCTGTGTGCAGGGCCGGTGCAAGGATTTCTGCCATCCTAGGCAAAGATCCATTTTGCTGCCCCTTCATGTCACTCACTGACAGACACACACGCACGCTGACACACATACAGTTGCAAGAAAAAGTATGCGAACTCTTTGGATTGATATGGATTTCTGCACAAATTGGTCATAAAATGTGATCTGATCATCATCTAAGTCACAACAATAGACAATCACAGTCTGCTTAAACTAATAACACACAAAGAATGAAATGTTGCCATGTTTTTATTGAACACACCATGTAAACATTTACAGTCCAGGTGGAAAAAGTATGTGAACCCTTGGATTTAATAACTGGTTGAACCTCCTTTGGCAGCAATAACTTCAACCAAACGTTTCCTTTAGTTGCAGATCAGAGGTGCACAATGGTCAGGAGTAATTCTTGACCATTCCTCTTTACAGAACTGTTTCAGTTCAGCAATATTCTTGGGATGTCTGGTGTGAATCGCTCTTGAGGTCATGCCACAGCATCTCAATCGGGTTGAGGTCAGGACTCTGACTGGGCCACTTCAGAAGGCGTATTTTCTTCTGTTTAAGCCATTCTGTTGTTGATTTACTTCTATGCTTTAGGTCATTGTCCTGTTGCAACATCCATCTTATGTTGAGCTTCAGCTGGTAGACAGATGGCCTTAAGTTCTCCTGCAAAATGTCTTGATAAACTTGGGAATTCATTTTTCCTTCGATGATAGCAATCCATCCAGGCCCTGATGCAGCAAAGCAGCCCCAAACCATGATGCCCCCAACACCATACTTCACAGATGGGATGAGGTTTTGATGTTGGTGTGCTGTGCCTTTTTTTCGCCACACATAGTATTGTGTGTTTCTTCCAAACAACTCAACTTTGGTTTCATCTGTCCACAGAATATTTTGCCAGTACTGCTGTGGAACATCCAGGTGCTCTTGTGCAAACTGTAAATGTGCAGCAATGTTTTGTTTGGACAGCAGTGGTATCCTCACAGTGGTATCCTCACAGGAAATCCATTCTTGTTTAGTGTTTTACGTATTGTAGATTCGCTAACAGGGATGTTAGCATTTGCCAGTGACTTTTGTAAGTCTTTAGCTGACACTCTAGGATTCTTCTTCACCTCATTGAGCAGTCTGCGCTGTGCTCTTGCAGTCATCTTTACAGGACGGCCACTCCTAGGGAGAGTAGCAGCAATGCTGAACTTTCTCCATTTATAGACAATTTGTCTTACTGTGGATTGATGAACAGCAAAGCTTTTGGAGATACATTTATAACCCTTTCCAGCTTTATGCAAGTCAACAATTCTTAATCGTAGGTCTTCTGAGAGCTCTTTTGTGCAAGGCATCATTCACATCAGGCAATGCTTCTTGTGAAAAGCAAACCCAAAACTGGTGTGTGTTTTTTATAGGGCAGGGCAGCTGTAACCAACACCTCCAATCTCATCTCATTGATTGGACTCCAGTTGGCTGACATCTCACTCAATTAGCTCTTGGAGATATCATTAGTCTAGGGGTTCACATACTTTTTCCACCTGCACTGTGAATGTTTACATGGTGTGTTCAATAAAAACATGGCAACATTTCATTCTTTGTGTGTTATTAGTTTAAGCAGACTGTGATTGTCTATTGTTGGGACTTAGATGATGATCAGATCACATTTTATGACCAATTTGTGCAGAAATCCATATCATTCCAAAGGGTTCACATACTTTTTCTTGCAACTGTACACTCACTTACTGACACACACACACACACACACACACACACACACACACACACACACACAGAAGCTCACCGACAGACATACACTCAATCACTGACAGACACACACACACACACACACAGACACTCACTGACAGACATACACACAGACTCACTGACAGACATACACACTCACTCACTGACACACACTCACTCAATGACAGACAAACACACACACACACTGACAGGCATATACTCACTCACTGACAAATACAGACACTTACTGAGATACATACACACACACTCACTTACATACATTCACTCACTGACATACACACTCACACAGGCACTCGCTGACAGACATACACTCACTCAGTCACTGACACACACACTCACTGACAGATATACACTCACTCAGTCACTGACAAACACACACATTCCCTGACAGACATATACTCACTCACTGACACACACACACACACTCACTGACAGACATATACTCACTAACTGAGAGACAGACACACACATAGACACTCAGTGACAGACATACACTCACTCACTGACAAACACACAGACACTCACTGACACACACACACACACACACACACACACACACACACACACAGGTAGATACTCAGTGACACACACACACACACACCCTCACTGACAAACACTTAAACACTCACCTCCCTAGGATCCAGTATGGGGCAGCTCCTCACTCCTCCCGCCCGCCATTTAGTATGCCGGGGCCGGAATGACGTCATATTCCGGCTCACGGCATCACAGAGGGCGCGTGAAGGAGGATTGGGAGGCTGCAAGAATAGCCTCCCTCGCCGCCTTCTCCTTTCCCCCTCTCCTCCGGTCACCGGGATTTGATGGCAGAGCAGGCACCTGTCATCAAGGTAAGAAGGTGCCTGCTCTGCCATACTGTGACAGGGCTCTTCTGGGCGCCCCCACCTTTGGGTGCCTGGAAGAGCGGCTCGGTGCTGAGGGGGCACGGCTCTAGAGCTGCACGCCCAGCGCTGCGACCCAAGACAGGATGAGCCCACCAAGAAGTTCCCGGTGGGCGCCCCCAGCAGGCCGGCGCCCTAGGCGAATGCCTAGTTCACCTAACGGTGGCGCCAGCCCTGTCTGTGTGTGTGTGCCGGCTAGTGAGTGAGCTTGTATGTGTTTGTGTGTCTGCTAGTGAGAGAGCTTGTGTGTGTGTGTGTGTGTGCCTGCTAGTGAGAGAGCTTGTGTGTGTGTGTGTGTGTGCCTGCTAGTGAGTGAGCTTGTCTGTGTGTATGTGTCTGCTAGTGAGAGAGCTTGTGTGTGTGGCTGCTAGTGAGTGAGCTTGTGTGTGTGTGTGTGTGCATTCTAGTGAGTGAGCTTGTGTGTGTGTGTGTGTGTGTGAGCTTGTCTGTTGTAAGCTTGTGCGTGTCAAAGTTTGTCTGTACTACATTTGTGTGTGTGTATGCCAATAAGCTTGCCTGTGCATGTCAGTGAGATTGTCTGTCAGTGAGCCTATCTGTGTGCATCTGTAAACTTGTGTATTTATGTCAATGAGATTATATATATATATCAGTGAGATTGTTTGTCTATGACACTGTGTATCAATGAGCTTGCATATGTCAGTGAGATTGTCTGTGTCTGCATGTGAGTATGCTTACTGTATAATTAAATGTTTGACTCTGTAAGGAATATTTTATAGTAGAAAAAACTAATATATATATATATATATATTGACCAATAATATGTAAGGGGCTATGTCTTGCCACCCCAGATGATTGAGTCATATATAAATACATATTATATATATATATATATATATGTATGTATGTATATATATATATATATATAAAATATGTATTTATATATGACTCAGTCATTTGGGGTGGAAAGACATAGCCGTACGTATTACATGTGACAATGTGGGGCTGGCATAGATTTTTTTCCAGGGCTGCTTTGTATCCCCAGTCCGGCCCTGCACTGCACTTAGACCTCATCAATGAGAGGAAGTGACCTGGGTGCCTAAAATGTCCCTTTAAAGTCAGCCCCCTTTAAATTTTAAAACATAAGCAAGTGGAATCTGGGGTAAAGTGTCTAAAACTGAACAATTGCCATGAAAACCAGTACAAAAAAAAACAAGGACATATCAGCTATTTATAATTTAATTGATATCGGTTGAGTGTATAGAGTAAAATGTGCATTGTAATGACTTAAAGGGACACTAAAAGCATCATCAGGTGCTATTTTAGTTGCAAAGTTCAAAATTTTGAGAGACATTCTGTGCAACAGACAAGTATGCATTTGATAATATTAACTGTCCCATATTTAACTCAATAACCTAACTTGCATGGATGTACATTGATCAGCTACAACATTAAAACTACTGGCAGGTGAAGTAAATAACAGAGATTATATCATTTTCATGGCACCTGGCAAGGGGTTGCATATATTAGGCAGCAAGTGAACAGTCAGTTCTTTAATTTCATATGCTGGAAGCAGGAAAAATGGGCAATCAAAGAGATCTGAGTGACTCTAACAAGGACCATATAGTGATGGCTAGATAACACAGAATACATTCAGAGGTCTTGTAGAGTCAATGCCTTGACACATTTAAGCTGTTTTGGCAGCACAAGGGGGGGGGCAACACAATGGTAGGCAGGTGGTTTTAATGTTGTATCTAATAAGTGTAACTTGATGCTGTCGTTGAAAAAGATTTTTGCTATAATGCACAATACAATAATATGAAATTATTATTGGATGTTAGATGCAGCTCAAATGTATTAATCTTTTAAATACAATGGACATATGATGCTGGTAATATTGCCAGGATGATTTTTAATTTGATCATTGTTTATTAAGCCTTAGAATCCTATCCTATGGAGGCTCAGATTGGAGATCTCGAGAAGCAAATCGCAACTTTGAGGGAGATTGACAATCTTGAGAGGAGTCTACTGCTCACTGAGCAGAGTTTAGTGGGGACAGGTAGTGGAGAGGGAGGAGATAATACAGATGGGGAACAGGCATGCAGCTGGGTGACAGTGGGGCGAGGAAGCAGGGGGGGAGGGAAGAGGAAAGGGCTAGCTAGTCCTGATTTGGTACAACCTAGCAGATTTGCCCGTTTGAGGGAAGATGTTGGGAGCATCAGCTCAGGAGTAGCTGTATTAGAGGAAGCTGTTACTTCTAACAGCCGAGCTAACAGCCCCCCTAGTATGGGTGGGGATCAAAATGTAAGGAAGGCAAGACAGGTTGTGGTGTTAGGGGACTCTATCATTAGGAGAGCAGATAGGGCAATCTGCCAATCTGATCGGCTCAACCAGACAGTTTGCTCGGGTCCGGCATGTTGCTGACAGAGTGGATGGATTATTGGGAGGGGTTGGGGATGACCCAGTGGTCATGGTCCATGTTGGTACAGGCAAGCGGGAGATTAGAGAGGTCAATGCGTGGCTTAAGTCTTGGTGCAGGAAGGAGGGATTTGGGTTTTTAGAGCACTGGGCTGACTTTGCGATTGGGTACAACCTTTATAGTGGTGATGGATTGCACCTAAACGGGAGAGGGTCTGCAGTGCTGGGGGATAGGATGGCTAGAAGGTTGGAGGAGATTTTAAACTAGTAGTAAGGGGGGAGGGTCATAGCAATCTAAAAAATGGAGATAGGACAGAAAGGAGATGGGCTTTAGCACAGTATAAGGGGGTGGAGACGGGGGAGGGGCAAGCATAGAACAGAGAAGCTATGTAATGATGATAATTCACAAAATATACAAGTGACGCATAATATTAAATATATGCTTACTAATGCAAGGAGCCTAAATAACAAAATGGGGGAACTAGAGGCATTAGCATACACTAAACAATATGATATAATAGGCATAACTGAAACATGGTGGGATGAGACACATGACTGGGCAGTTAACTTAAATGGGTACATGTTATTTAGGAAGGATAGGAAAAACAAGAAGGGTGGTGGGGTATGTTTGTATGTCAACTATGATTTAAAGTCAAATCTTAAGCAAACGGAATGTGATGAGGAAAATGTGGAAGCATTATGGGTAAATATCTGCTTGGGGGAAAAGAAAGGAAAGCAACTATTAGTTGGGATATGTTATAAACCACCTAATGTTAATATTGACGAGGAACAACAGCTGTTTAAGCAAATTGAGAAAGCTGAAAATCTGGGTAACACTTTAATTATTGGAGATTTTAATTACTCGGACATAAATTGGGACAGAGGGACTAGTAGCTCAGCAAAGGGAATTAGGTTTTTAAACTTGTTAAATGACACCTTCATGTCACAACTTGTACAAGCACCAACTAGAATCGACGCTTGTCTGGACCTGGTTTTAACAAACAACGTTGATCTTTTGACCAACATTCAAGTAGGGGAGCACTTGGGAAATAGTGATCACAATGTAGTGTCCTTTGAAATAAACTCAAAAAAACAAAAGCACATGGGGTATACTAAAACATATAATTTTAAAAAGGACAATTTCAATAAGTTAAGGGAAGCTTTACAATATATTGACTGGCATAAACTCTTCAGTGAAAAGAACACTGAGGATATTTGGATCATCTTCCAACAAATATTAGAAAGGTAAATTTCTCAGTATGTACCATTGGGAAATAAATATAAAAGAAACAAATTAAAACCAATGTGGCTTAGTAGAGAAGTAAAACAAGATATTAAAAATAAGAAAAGGGCATTTAAAGCATTTAAATCGGACAAATCGGATGCATCTTATAAAAGATATAAGGAAGCAAATAATGCGTGTAAAAAGGCAATTAGACTTGCTAAACTTCAAAATGAAAAAATGATAGCTAAAGAGAGCAAAACCAACCCCAAAGCATTTTTTAAGTACATAAATTCTAAAAAAAAAAAAAAAATGAAAGTGTAGGTACACTAAAAACTGAAACGGGGGTGTTAGTTAATGAAGACCAGGAAAAGGCAGGAATTTTAAATAACTATTTCTCCTCCGTATATATTAAGGAAGAACCCATGGCAATAGATGTGCAAATGATTGCTACTAAAAACTTGCAGAATAATTGTAATTGGTTAACTCAAGACAAGGTGCTGCAGCAACTAAAGAAAGTTAATATAAACAAAGCTCCAGGGCCTGACGGTATCCATCCACATGTACTTAAGGAACTAAGTGCAGAAATAAGTGAACCTCTGTTTTAATCTTTCAAGATTCTTTTCTTTCAGGAAGTGTTCCGGAGGATTGGAGGAAGGCAGATGTGGTTCCTATATTCAAAAAGGATTCAAAATCCTTGCCTGGAAATTATAGACCTGTGAGCTTAACTTCTGTGGCTGGTAAAATATTTGAAAGGTTATTAAGGGATAATATTCAAGAATTCCTTGAGAAGAACATGGTTTTCAGCAAAAATCAGCACGATTTTATGAAGCACAGGTCATGTCAAACTAACTTGATTGCATTCTACGAAGAAGTAAGTAGAAGTATAGATCAGGGTGTTGCCATGGATGTGATCTATTTGGATTTTGCCAAGGCATTTGATACAGTTCCACACAATAGATTAGTGTTCAAACTCAAGGAAATCGGTCTAGATGAAAATGCTTTTTTTTGAGTAGAACATTGGCTTAAAAACAGAGTACAAAGAGTTGTCATTAATGGTAACTTTTCAAACTGGACAGAGGTGGCAAGTGGTGTCCCTCAGGGGTCTGTTCTGGGACCCCTTCTATTTAACATGTTTATAAATGATCTTGAAGACAGCATTGAAAGTCATGTTTCAGTGTTTGCAGATGACACAAAACTTTGTAAAATAATACAATGTGAGCAAGATATTACTTTGCTGCAGAGGGATTTAGATAGACTGGGGGACTGGGCACTCAAATGGCAGATGTTGAAAAATGCAAGTTATGTACTTCGGCGTAAAGAATACACAAGCAACGTATACCCTTAATGGAAGTGAATTAGGGATAACAACACACGAAAAGGACTTGGGAATTGTTATAGACAACAAACTATGCAACAATGTGCAATGTCAATCAGCAGTGGCCAAGGCCAGTAAGGTATTATCATGCATGAAAAAGGGCATTCATTCTCGGGATGAGAATATAATTTTGCCTCTTTATAAATCACTGGTAAGACCCCATATTGAATATGCTGTGCAATTTTGGGCACCTGTTCTAAAGAAGGATATTATGGCACTAGAAAAAGTGCAGAGGCGGACTACAAAATTAATAAAAGGAATGGAACATATCGGCTATGAAGAAAGGTTAACAAATTTAAACCTATTTAGTTTAGAAAAACATCGCCTGAGAGGGGATATGGTAACATTATACAA